CCCCCCTTCCTCGAGGAACGCAAGAGAATAAGCAAGCGAGGAAAGCAGCGCGTCCTCCTTTTTTAAATCATCCATAGAGAAGGTTAAGCGGTGAATTCATATTTATCGCCTCCTCTTATTTTATCTTTCTTTTAAAGGCGTGGAAAATGGGTAAGTGGATGCACCTCACACTCATGCATACGGGCAGGGCACCTGTAGTACGTAGTCCCCTTGTACGAATGTTTCCGCATGGTTCTGTTTTACGTGACTTATGTGTGCATGCTTTTCTTCCCACGTGCAAACGTGCACATGACTTCCTTCCGGGCAAATCCCGTCTCCGCTTCCATTTTCACAGACGTAAGAGACAACCCATTCATTAAAAATCGATCCAGCACGAGAATTACGAACGCCCCAGGAGGGAACTCCACCGTATCATTTGGAAACTGTAAGTGGAGGGGAAGAGCACCCAAGGAGTGGCACCGAGCGCACTACATGCATGTGAAGATGCAATAGCGTCTGGAGAGACGCGTGTATGATTGTGTACGTTGTTCACACATTCATGTCAACCACTTGTGAGAGTGAGTGATCACTGTGAGGAATTCCCCCTTTTAATACCCTCCGCACAGACGTAGAACCTGAGAACAAAAATAGCAACAAGAAAAATGCGAATTGTTCCTCAAAGAATAATGAGAGCTCGGAGGCGGCGGGTAACCCCGAAATGAACAAGATGCCGTCTAAGTCGGACAAAAAGACGAATGTGAAGGTGAACCAACCCCCCGGAGGAGCGTCAAGCAGTAAGGGCTAAATGAGAGCGCGTTCACGAGCGGATTACCCGCAGAGTTTTTTTTTTTTTTTTGCCTGTATACCATAGGCCTATAGTACGCACATATGTATCACGCACGGATCAATGCACACACGCGCTAATCGCCGTGCACTTTCCCCTTTTTCAGTCATATTCGGTTGAGGACCTTCTCAAGTCATGTGCGAATTATAAACCCATGCATCCCCTATCCTAAGGGAAAAGGACAAATTAAATGGAACACCTCCAAGTAGACATAAAAAAAAAAGCTTTATAAAAATAGCTAGATTTTTTTTTTTTTTTTTTTTTTTTCTTCCAAAACAGTT